AAAGAGCAAAACTCCAATGTGTTTTCAAAGGTCTGGAGAGGCAATTATTTCTATTTATATCCGATACTTACATAACACAAACATACACAGAAGTCTCAACTTTACAAAATGCACATTGTAGAATTTCAAACCAACAAGATTCATAAATTCAGGAGTTAACTATGCGGACTGACTAATGCTTCTTCGGGGGGCGGGGGGGAATTTAATCTGGACAATAAGCTCACTCTGGGTTTATCAATTCTGAAGAAGAGATGGGACTTTAATAAGTTCAGTCATTACCCCTCAGACTAGCTGGGCACTGGCATTGGTGGGGGTGGTTTTATACAGTCACAGCTCTATTACAAGTGACCCAGCGACCCCTTTCTTCAAAAAGGAGGGACAGGGGGAGGCGAACAGCACAAGAGAAGGTGCCGCCACTCAGCCTCAGCGGGGACAGGAAAGGAGACTTTTAAAGTGTTGAAACCCCAGAACATTTCAAATCCAAAGCAGCAATGACAAGTATGCCATTCCTTTAAGGAATGAGTCTAGCTCCTCGGCCACAGAAGTGGGTGAAAATATTTTATAAAGTATAAAATGCCATTAAAATGTCAGTTAATTCTAAAGTGAGAGCGACCTAGCCCAGTGAATTCTTCCACCTCTGAGTCCTAAGCCTCAGGAGCTCAGCACCATCTGTACTATTGCCCATGAAAGATCATCACTGAGGCCAAGTTAGCACAAAACCAAAAGCAGAGTACTCCTCAATATCAAGACATTAAACTGGAGTAGGGGGCGTGCAGGAGGCAGCCAATCAATGACTCTCTCATCACTGATGTTTCTATCTCTCTCTCTCCCTTCCTCTCTCTGAAATAAATAAAAACATTTTAAAAAAAGTAATTAAACTGGGAGAATTAAAAAGCTAGAGGTCCAGGATACCCTTATTTTAAAATGGGAACCAGTGGAAAACTATCACTGAAAAAATGGGATTTCATAAATAAAATTACTCTATAGCCAACCTGACTGAAGTCCTTAAATTAAGTCTTTTATAGCACCTGGACAGCACGGCTCAGCGGGCTGAGTGTCGTCCTTTGCACCAAGAGGTCGCTGGTATGATTCCAGGGCACATGCCCAGGTTGCAGGCTAGATCATGCAGGACGCAGCCAATCACTGATTCTCTTTCATCCATGTTCCTATCTCTTTCTAGCTCTCCCTTCCTCTTGCTATAAAATCAATAAAAACATATTTAAAATAAAAGTCTTTATAGTAAATGAATACTTGCTATTGTGTTTAAACATTTATTGGTTAGCACTGATTACATGCAGCCAACCACATTACTTTTGGTGACAAAGAAAGGCAAGTGGGGAGATCAGCATGGGCCTATTAGCACCCCTGGTAAAGCAAAGGGCAAGCCCCTCTCATTGTCCAGGAGTCAAGAAAGTCATCGTTGCATACTCAACGATGACATACTTTTATTTACTTGTGGCCTGGCTCATCCTAAAAAAAAATAAATAAATAAAAGATTTNTTTGCATACTCAACGATAACATACTTTTATTTACTTGTGGCCTGGCTCATCCTAAAAAAAATAAATAAATAAAAGATTTTAAATGATGAATGGCCATTAATATTAAAAAAATTAGCTTCATTTGTTTTTATTCTATTTATTAACATACAATCATTCCACAAAGCATTCAGGGAACTGGATTTCATTTCGTAATGAATTTTGCGAACCTCTTACTAAAAGTCTTGTTGTATACTCTATATACTGATAATAAATATAAACTGCCCGGAACACAGTATGCAATTCGTAAAATGTGGTTTCTATTCACGTTAGGCTATAAGCTCTTGAGGGGCTGTTATCTTGTTCTGCCTTGTTCAGCACTCTACCCAAAAAACCCAGTCCACTATCAGGTCCACAGTTGGTATTTAATAAATACGTTGAATAAATAATTTAATACGATTTACGAGTAATTCTCAACTCTCACCTATTTTATGGTTACCAGTGCCCCACCTCCTCTAATCAACAGCAAGGGTCTGGAAAACCATACCCCAGAGAAAAGGCATTTAAGTTCCTGTTTATGTTTCCTTAAACTAACCACAAAGGTCCCCTCCTCCCATTTCTGTCCAGAAACCCACAAAATCAATGCTTTGCAACAACGTATTCTTAAACAATTCTGCTTCATTTCCCCTCACAGACAAGGCACAAAGTTCCTTAAAACTGCAAGACTTAGTTTAGTTCCCTTTACCCTTTAAAAAGGAAAGGCATCTTTGTGAAACCGTGTCCATTCTCAAATTTCTAGTCTGATTCTTTGATCTTTGATTTGTGGTTGGTCACACCAGCTCTATTTGCATTTTTATTATATACTCAGTACAAATTAAAATCATGGAAACAGCCTTAATGTGTAAAAAAAAAATCAAGCTACACATCAAAGCATATCGCACTTCAGAACAATCTAATTAGGAGGCTGACACATTTCAGTGAGGCTGCATTCTTAAGATACTCTGAGAAATTCTTCTTGGGAACAGACTTCAGATCCAGTTCTACAAGTCACACAAGCAATTCTGTGTCATCACTTTTTAGTTGAGACTACTATTAGACATAAAACAGTATCACCAACCTGACTGCTTAATCTTTTTCACCAGACTTTAGCACAAATTCACTATTATTTAGATTCAATGACTTTGTGGATGCCTAAAATCTGCACTCAGAGGATGAAGATGGTGAAGAGTAACAGGGACTCAAAAATGGGTTCTAAGAGAAGTTCAAAAAAAGTACTTTCTGCCACACGTGAAAAGTTCCTAACTGAAAGAACAACTTCAAGTAACTACTCTGAATGATATAATACTTACTTGTGAATCTAAATTCTGATTTTTTTTTTTATCCAAAATCAGCTCTATTTGTCTATAATCGTTACCTGTATCGGTTGTACCGTCCTCCACCCGAGTGCAATGGGTGACACCTTAAATCCCCTTCACAGAAACAGTACTGAAAAAACAAACTCTGCCGCCCTGGAAAGACACACGAGAAACTCAACGGGCTGTCTCTGAGGAAAGGAACAGCATGGCTGGAGAACAGAAAGAAAAGACTTCTCACTGAATATCTTTTCATACCTTTTGAACTTTATACAATATAAATGTATCACCTATTTTTTAAAACCTGTTTAACAAAATTACTTTCAAGTGTTAGACATTTCTGGCTTCAAAGTGTCTAGCAGCACTAAAGAAATGCGGAGTTCATTTTAACGGCACTTCACTGGGAATCTGGACCTTCAGTTTCAGTGCAGAGCTATTCACACCAACAGCAGGGAAACCTTGCAAGCCTTTCTTTTCAAGTTCACTGAACTCGCCGTAGCTGGACTATTCTACAGTATCACTCCATTAAAGTTTAAACATCATTGGAAACAAAAACTTGGTACTACAAATATTAATGTGTCAATTCAAGAATGAGAAACAAAGTAAACTAATGAGCTATTAAAGGAGCAATGATCCAGATACACCTTTGAAAATTAGCAAGTCAATCACACACACACACACACACACACACACACACACACACACACACTATAATGCTGCAAATTCCCTTAAAATGTAGACCGCTGTACTATAAATATGTGGAAAAGATGTCAGGCATGGTGCAACAAATTCAAGCAGCTTGAACTAGATAATGCAATATGATCTGTTGCTGGGCACAATTGCACAATCTCAATTACCCAGAAGATTCTACCAAACAGGAAATTCATGATGTGACTTTAAGAAACACATGAATTATATTGAAAGATTAATACATTCAAAAGCCCCGAATTTGTTCCAAAACAAGAAACAATTTTATAGACCCCTTTTCAAATGTTGCATGGGCATGAAGAACATGAATCAGTTTTCAGACCAGGAGCTCTCAGATTACAGTGAATGTAAAATACAGTGTATAAAACCTTGGAAGCTAGTCAGTGAAGGTAAAGTGAAATGTTTCAGGTCCTTAAATTTTATGGCATTATTTTAATTTAATTAGAAACACACTGTGAATTAAAGCTGATATATTCCACATCCTTATGAAAGCCACCGTGTACTTCAGGCTATAAATGTAAATAAGTCCCCTGCAGATTCTCAGGGACCTTAAAAACACGGTATTATTCACAAGAATTATCGCAATAAAAAAAAAATATTTACAGTATTCCCCCAGCATTGTTAGGAACGTTTTGATCTTGAGGGCGTCCAGCGGATCTGAACCTCCCCGCCCGCACCGAGAACGCTGTCGGGTGAAACAATACTCGGGAGCGCGGGGGTGAGTCACGGCGGCCGCTCCCGCGGCTGCAGCGGCCTCGCGCGCCGNCCGGGGCCGCGGGGAGGAAACGCGCTTCCAACCGACTCGGAAACGCCGCTCCAGCTGGCGCGGCGCTCCCCGAGATAAAGTCGGTATTTTAAGCTCTCCGGGTCGCTGCTAATTCAACGGCGAATTCCAAAAGAACGCTTCTCAAAATGGGCTTTTGACAAGAGCTTTGCAAAGACGCCCCGCGTCGCCAGAGCTGCTCGCGCGGCCGCAGCCTCCGGGGGGCTCTGCCCTTGGCTCCTCCCGGCGGCTCCCGGGGCTGCACCGCTCCGGGGACAGGCGCCCGCGCCCGGGGTGGGCGCGCCTCCGGAGGGGGTCCTTCTGCTGGACGCCAGGAGGGAGACCCCCCCC